GAATGTTTTTCTAAATCTTGATAAGGAAGACACTAGATTTTGGACCCCTTCCACCTCTGGTACTTTCTCTTGTGCTTCGTTCTTTGAAACCTTAACTCAGCCTTTTGTCCCTATTGGGTTGTCCTTTCTGGCTAAGGAAATGTGGAGCAAGCCTATTCCTCCTCGGGTTGGCTTTTTTTGTTGGGAAATTTTCTTGGAAAGAATAAACACAATTGACTTACTTCAGAGAAAGAGACCCAACTATTGTCTACTTCCTAATAGATGTTCTCTTTGTAAAGCTGATGGGGAATTCGGCTACCACCTCATGGTCTCTTGTAAGGTCATTAAAACTGTATGGGAGTGGGTTTTTTCCCGCTTTGAGTGTTCTTGGAATCATCCTGGGAGTGTCCAAAGTTTGTTCTCTCATTTTTTCAGATGGCCTAAGAAGTGAGGGAAGACTATGTGGAGGAGTATTAGGGCAACTGTGTGCTGGTCGTTGTGGGAAGAAAGAAATTCACATATTTTTTCAAACAAGGAAAGAACCCTGGAAGAATTGTTAGACCTAATTCTATTAAGGGTTGCCCACTGGCTAAAATCTTTGGAGTTGTTTTCAGACTTTCCTGTGGATGACTTGCTAAAAAATTGGAAAGAGGTTGCTACCACTACTCGGTGCAAGAGGACTCTTAGTCCCTCTTGGTTCCCTCCCCCCTCATTTTTTATAAAATTGAATTTTGATGGCAGTAGTGTAAGGAATCTAGGGCCCTATGGGATTGGAGTTTTTAGGAATGAGGAAGGGATTGTTATTGCTTTGTTCTTTGGCCCTATTGGAGAAGGTGACTCTCTTAGGGCTGAGATCCTAGCAGTGCTGGAAGGAATTCGAAGAGCAAAGGAATTAAATATCAGCTGGTTGATCCTGGAAGGTGATTTGAAGGTGGTGTGGTTAGCTGGTTGAAGAAAGAGGACAATGGGTTGTGGAGCTATAACAATGAAAAGAAACAGTTCTTATGGCTATGTAGGGACATTGAGATGCAATAGAGGAGTGCTAACTCATTTGTGGATGGGTTGGCCAAGCAAGGGGTGAATAGGGACTCGATCTTTTGGGCTAATTTTTAATTTTTTCTCTTTGTATTCTGTTAATGGGGAGCTAAGATATTTTATCTCCCCTCTTGTATCCATAATCTCACTTTTCTCTTATTATTAATGAAGTTGTTGTTATTGATAAAAAAAAAGATAGAATCAAGGAATGGAACCTCTTAGAGTTTGGGAGATTGGAGGAAAGGTAGAAATCCGTGATTACACAAATTGAACTCTTGGATATGAAAGAAGAGAGGGGATGGCTTACAAAAGAGGATAAGGAACAAAGATGGAAATTGCGCAAACAGTTAGAAGATTGTCTGCTCAAGGAGGAAATAAGTTGGAGGCAAAAATCAAGATGTAAATGGCTGTAAGAGGGGGATAGAAACACCAAGTTTTTTCATGCTGTGGCAAATGGAAGAAGGAGAAGGAATTTTATCTCTAGTTTGGAGATTGAAGGGGTAGTAGTTTCCAATCAAAGAGAGATTGTTGAGGTTTTTGTGGATCATTTTAGGTCTATATTTAGAAGACCCCTGACTAATAGGGTGTGGTTGGAGGGGTTGGAGTGGCCAAATTTGAAGTTAGAAGATAGGGAGTGGCTAGAGAGGAAATTTGACCTGAAAGAGGTAAAGGAGGCAGTGTTCTCTATGGCTAGATCAAAGGCACTAGGGCTGGATGGGTTCACAATGGCTTTCTATCAGGATTGTTGGGAGGTACTAAAAGAGGATCTAATGAGGGTATTTGATGAATTCCATAATAGAGGAGTGGTTAACCTTAGGCTGAATTCCACATTCATTACCTTGGTGCCCAAGAAAAGAGATGCAAACCATCCAAAGGACTACAAATCAATCAATTTAGTTAATAGCCTTTATAAGATTATCACTAAGGTGTTGTCCATCAGGATTAGGAAAGTGCTCCTAGCAATTATAGCAAATAACCAAGGAGCTTTTGTGAAGGGGAGGCATATAACATACCAAATACTCAAAGCTAATTAGAGTTTGGAGGATTTCAAGAGATCCAAGAAAATTGTGGTGGTCTGCAAATTGGATTTGGAAAAGGCTTATGACTTGGTTGATTGGTCTTTCCTGTTGGAGGTGATGATCAATTTTGGGTTTGGAGACAATTGGTGTAAGTGGGTGATGGGTTGCATTAGGACTTGTCACTACTCTATATTGGTGAGTGGGACTCTGGTGGATTTCTTCTTAGCTTTGAGAGGGATTAGACAAAGAGATCCCCTCTATCGTTTCTTATTTACTTTGGTTGCAGAGGTGTTGGGGCGACTAATTTCTAGAGCAGATTTCAGATAGTTAATAAGGGGGTGGAGAGTTGGAAGGGAGAACATACCATTCACACACTTGCAATTTGTAGATGACACGATCTTGTTTTGTGAAGGAGGGGATCCCAATAGGATCAGGAACTTGAAGCTCACTATACAACTCTTTGAACAAATGTCAAAACTTAAAGTGAACTTTGAGAAAAGTTGTATAGTAGGAGTTAATTTGGGAGAGGTGGAGATATCCGAGTGTGCAGACATTTTGGAGTGCACAGTATCTAATTGGCCTATAAACTACCTTGGTTTGCCATTGGGTGATAACCCTCAGAAAGGAGAGTTTCAGGATACAGTTGTGGAGAGGTTTGAGAAGAGGCTTACCACATGGGAGAAAAATTCTCTCTCTGGGAGGGAGAATCACCCTAATTAGGTCTACATTGGCTAACCTTTCGCTTTATTTTTTTTGTTAGTCTTTAAGGTCCCGGCTGAGGTGGCTAGTAGGTAGGAAAAACTAATGAGACTTTCTTTGTGAGCCGGGAGAGGAGAAGAAGGACCATAGGGTTAGGTGGGAGGTGATGTGTAGAATCAAGAAGGAATGAGGTTTGAGTATTGGGAACATAAGGAATAGGAACTTGGCACTACAAGGGAAATGGCTGTGGAGATTCTCATTGGAGAAAGAAACGATGGATGGGACTTTGGGATTCTAACAAGGACTACAAGAGCATCTCTCTGGAAAGCTATTCAAGGTATTTTGCCTTTGTTCTCTCCCTGAATCAGGTATGACTTGCACTCAGGCAATCTCATTAAATTTTGGGAACGTGTTTGGCTTGGAAATTCTTCTTTAGAAGACCAATTTCCGGCTCTTTTTGCTATCACTACCCTTAAAAATGAATCGGTTTCTACCTTCCTTGTACCTTCCAATTCAACTTCTGGGTTTGGTTGGAACTTGGGTTTACGAATAGACATAAGGGACTCAGAGTTAGACTGTACCTTATTGTTTCTATCCATCCTTGATGGGGTTTTCCTGGATCCAACAAAGGCTGACAGTAGAATTTGGACACTCACTCCCTCGGGTTCCTTCACATGTTCCTGTTAAAGAGGTGTGGTGTCAACCTATACCTCTGAAGGTTGGGAGTTTCTGTTGGAAAGCTTTTCTGGAAAGAGTTAATACGGGAGATTTGCTTAAAAGGAAAAGACCCAATAGCTGTTTGGATACCACTTGCTAATTTCCTGTCAGTTTGCTAAATTCACTTGGGAATGATTTACTTCTCTATTTGGCAGGTGGATACCCCCATTGGATGTGCAAAGCTTATTCACTTCCACTCCTAACTGGTCAACAAAAAGGGGTAAGACTATGTGGTGATGTGTTAGGGCTGCAGTTTGTTGGACTATCTGGGAAGAGAGAAATTCACGGATCTTTTCAGAAAAGGAGAGTAGTTTGGAAGCAATAGTGGAGGTTACTCATATTAGAGAAATTCACAGATCATTTCAGAAAAGGAGAGTAGTTTGGAAGCAATAGTGGAGGTTACTCATATTAGGGTGATACATTGGCTGAAAACCTTGGACTTGTTTGTAGATTTTTCTGTATATGAGTTGCTAAGAAAGTGGAAGGAAATTGCAGAATCAGTTTCAGCTAAGATGGCTTCAAGTTCTTGTTGGACCTTTCTATTGCAGGGTTTTACTAAACTGAACTTCGATGGCAGCAGTATGGGCAATGCAGGGCCCTCCAGAATAGGGGGAGTTGTAAGAGATGGAAAGGGGAATCTGCTAGCCATGTATTCTGGTCCAATTGGGGTGGGAGATTCCTTGAGGGCTGAGATACTAGTGGCTCTTGAAGGGGTACAAAGGGCTAAAGATATGAATATCAAGAAATTGATCATAGAAGGAGATTCTGAAATTGTGGTGAACTGGTTAAAAGAGGACAACTCTAGGCTTTGGAGGTACAGAAATGAAAAAAGAAGATTTAAGTGGCTGACTAAGGGACTCGAAATTCAATGTACATGGGTAAAGAGAAGGGCAAATTCATTGGCAGATGGACTAGCTAGGCAAATGTTTTGGGCTGTGTTGTAATGTAATTGCTTTTTAATTTGGGTGTACCTTGGTCGTTTCTGGGAGTTAAGATCGTTTAGCTCCCTTGCTTCGTAACTTTTTATTCCATTAATAAAATTCACTGTTATTGATAAAAAAAAACTTTATATTTGTGCTCATCCTCCACTTTGGTTTCCTTCTGAATAGGAGGTGCGGGATCCAACCCGTGTAACTGCAGGTTCTTTGTGGTAAGGGCAGTGGACCTCACATGCACTCTACTCTCCGTGGTATGGCCAGTGGGTGTGTCATGTTTACCCTACCACGATTCCCCTGTAATGTGTAGTATGTAATCCCAAAAAAAAAACAAAATAAAATAAAAAGATGGTTATGGTCATGTTTGCTGACTTGTGACATCTACACTAGATTGTGTTTGTCTGTATGATATTAATGGGGGGTGGGAGGTTAGAAAAATTAAAGTAGGCATAGGCTATCGGAAAAAGAAACAGCAAAGTACCTGTAATTGAATGTTTATTGTCCAAAATTTGCATTCTTTACAGGATTTTGATTCTGTACTGCAGAGCTTTTTTCTTTTTCTTTCTCTGGTAATTTGCAGTTGTAACTTACTGGCTGAACGCTTATTATCATGCAGGCTGTATGGCAGCGTTGGAAGCAGAACATTACCTGCAAGAGATTGGATCTCAAGAGGGTAAGAGCGATTGACTATTTCTAAGCATTGTGGAGGAACCAAAGTGTTCACCACGGCGGATGAAGTCCTGCCTATAGAACGAAGAAAATGGTATGATTTTGTTATGCAAAAAACTCATCTGTATCTATTGCTGCAAGGCGGAAACAGTATGGTATTTATTTTTCCCATTGGTATCATCTTTAATGTCATTGTTGTGTTACAGGCCAATTTATGTTTTATTTTGCTACATCAGTTTATGTTTATATTGATTAAAGTGGTTATCTGCTTTGCTTTCCTGTCTCCTGATGCTTTTGTAAATGTTCAGAAAGGCTGAGTCATAAAGTTATGGGTTGAATTAAAGGTGGCATAAATAATGGGTTACCTGGAATCTTGAATGATTCCTTGGTGATGCCGTGGCGAAGCGAATTGGAATATTGAACTTCAATATTTGAGAGTTTTGTGCCATCAGTATGGTTTGTGCCATATTGAACTTCAAGATTGCATAAATATCGTCGTCTATGGTTTGTGCCATCAGTCCAAAACACTTGAGAGTTTTCAAAAATCAATGTGAATAAATGCATCCTGATCAAGTTTCAGAGATTAAGGCACTTGTCAAGTGTTCACAATAAGCCCTCTATGAATGCTTCAGTCACACGCACTTGTTTCACACCACAGGCTTGGCTTTGTTGGTTGTGGGAGTCCGAGGAAAATGAGAGATGGATCATGGATAGTCTTAAAAACTGAAAAAAGTTTTTTTTTTTTTATTTTTTAAGAGAAACTTTAGGACTTGCTTTTAGTTTTAGCATGTGAACAAAACGATGTTTATATAAAACAATTGATTTTTAATCAATTAAAAGATGAAAGAAATTACCATGATATTGTTTTATCGTGTAAAAGAACTCCCTCTGATAGTATAGGTAAGTTTCTCAAATGGGTCAAATGAAGCTTCCTTACACAACCCTACCTGTTTTAGTGACTGCCATGTATAGGGATAATATGGCCTATCTAGAAGATCAATGGACTCGTGGAGTGGCCACATGTTCGATCTAAGGTTCAAAATATCTATATGCTGGATACGTTGGTACGGGTATATCAGTGCTTTTTTTATTTTTTATTTTTCAAAACTGGTTAAGGGGGGCTGGTTTAAGTCTTCTCCACCCCTGAATCGGTCAGAACCCCGATACACCCTCTGTAGGGGCGTATCAGGGTGCTTCTGATATGATAGTATCGGTTGATACGGGCTGATACGTGTCGATACTTTTGAACTTTGGTTCGATTTCATCCTCTCTCCATATCAACTTAATAATAGCAAATCTTGTATTGGAATTTTGGTTGATCAATAATGGCCAATTATACTTTTTTTGGCTAGGTGCCAACCAGCTGGCTGGTAAGATCTCCTGTTAGTTGTAGCGGAGAATTGTGATAAAATCCCGCCTACACTTGGGTTGGGAGATGGGTTATTCCCGTTGTGGCGTTGTGTAGCCCTTCAAAAGATAAAGAAAAGGCCAACTATACTTCTTAAAATTTTATTTGTAATATATAAGATGATAAAAATCAGATTATTTTGACCATGTGGAATATATATATTTTTAGGCTAAAACTGTTTTTTCTTGAGAAGCATGGGGACTATTTTGGAGCTCCAAATTAGTTGTGTTGGAGATTTTTGGGCCATTTCATTTAGGCTATGTTTGGTTTGAAGGAAAAAGCAGGGAAAGGAAGGGAAAGGTAAGGAAACTCATACAAGGTTTGTAAAGGTTTCCCCACCTTTTCCTTCCTTTCCCTACTTTTTCCTTCAAACCAAACACAGCTTTAGGAAATCTTATTCAATTCGGTCTGCGCACGAATGTTATAAAAAACCAATTTGGAATTAGAACTGCTTTCGCCACCAGTTTCTGGGTTAATGATAAAAAATAAAAATAATTAAAAAAAATTAATGGATGGCCTGTTGCAAATAAAAAATAATAAAAAAGACACCCGAAAATTGTTGTATGGGTCAAATGGGTCAATGGTTCAATCGTCTAGGTCAATAACCTGCTGACTAAGTCAACTGTTTTGGCAAGGGATCAGTTCAGGGAAGAAATGGAACTGATTGCTTGGACGGTTTCTAAACTGAATGGTTTGACCATCTGGGTTAATGATGGTTCAAAAACCATGCTACAAAGTCATTGGCCTTGCAACAATTGTGATTTGAGGACATTTGTTTTTAACATTGTTTTGAAAATCAGATTGGACTAGACAAATTTTGTACATATGAGACGACGACAACTGGATCAGCAGAATTAGATAGGATTTTGGATCCTTTTTCTATCTTTTAAGTTCTTAATTTGGTAAATAGCTTGGACCGAAATGGGTGCAAAAATTGTTCATTTGAGGTGTAGGTTAGTCCAGTCCACAATATAACGTGGATTGAATTAGGTTATATAACAATTTTTAGTCCAAATTTAAATCTTGTAAATCAATTCACGTCACAATTGATGCAATCATTTTGTAAAGTCTTGCAGTAAATGATTATGGTATTTTATTAAAATATTTGTCTAATAAAGCATTCATATCGTCCACATCATAGCAAAGAATGATGTGATAGAGTTTGGTGTGGTTCCGCAGTAGAGTCTAGTAGATTGAAATGCTCCATATTTTGTTGAGCCATAGAAACGAACACCCCCTAATCTCTTATAAGGCCTCCTTTAAATTCTCCTTTGACTCTACAGTTTGAAAAGACCTCTTTGGAATTTTTTGAGTAGGCATATTCCAAACCTATAAGGACTCTTAATCCCAAATTATCACAAATCCATTTAACTTTTTCTCTCAATTTCTCAAACCTATCATGTCCCAAACCTGTTAAATCTGTCATGATCCGTCTCACCTGAAACCATAATGAACCATTTTTCTGAAGTTGTCAAAATGTAAAGTCATGATTCTAAGGTAGTGGCAAGGGTTTATTTATCTCAAATTTGGAATGAAAAGGATTTATGCATTTTTTAGCCCAATCCAATTTGCGTGCGGAATATTTTCCATGGGACAAATGGGGAAGGGTTTGAATCCTCTCTCAACCATTTTTACCATGTATATAATTGCTTATAAAATGTATAGCATATATTTAATAATACATGAGTTTATAATTGGGTATCAGGGATATTCCTATTATTGTGTTAAATTTATTCAGATTTGGGTATCAGATATCCTAATATCCTAAGGTCAAAATCTAAACTTGTTGCAAATCCTTTGATAGGTGGGTTTTATTAGAGTTGGAACTTAGAATAGGTTGGGTACCAAAAATTCTCTTAGGTTATGTTTGATTTGAAGGAAAATATAGGGTAAGGAAGGGAAGACAGAGAAATCAATACAAGGTTTATAAAGGTATTTGTATGTTTCCCTTCCTGTTCCTACATTTTCCTTCAAACCAAACATAGCCTTAAAATCAGCATTCCCTAATTCCCATCATTGCTATTCCCAGATGGCCAGCTGGACGTTGAACTAGAAAATTCCAATTTTCTTGGCATGAGCATAACAGCGAAAAACTTTGATACCCTATTAATTCATCAACTAGGTCAAGCGGATCAAATTATGATGTCTAAGTATATTAAAATATAAATACAGACCAGAGGAGGCAAAAAGAGATAAAAAGGGGGGTAAATGAGAAGCAGGGTTTACTGTTCACACGATTAGGCTTTTAGGTTTAGGTCTTTTGTATAATGTAAATAAGGATTGAGCAAGATTTTTAAAATCGGACAGGACATGGAACTGTTCCGGGGCTGATTCTTGGGTTCAACAGTTTGATAGGCCATTTTGAACGGATGGGTTGTTCTGACTTATATATAAAAAAAGGTCAAAAACCGTTGTTTGGATCAATGATTTGACTGCTCAGGTCAGTGGGTCACTGACCAAATCAACGGTTTTTGGCCAAAAAGCGATTTTAGGGTGAAATAAAATCGGTTATCTGATCCGACCAATCCGGTCTAGTTTTCAAAACCATAAGATCGAGACATGTAAGTAATTAAGAAAACAAATCATTCTTATCGTTGGAAGAATTGTTAATAAAATTCCCTTATTTCTTGCATTATGATGATGATGTTAATATGTTATCTACTTGTGGGATTATTTGTATTTATACTGTACATATTTGTATTTGCACTCTCCTCAACCTCCCTAATCCTGATGGCAACGAAATTTCTATTAAAATATTGAAACTTTCGTTGGTCAATATTAATTTTTTTTTGGTACAGATAGTTAAAAAAGCTGCGTTGATGTGAGGACAGATTACAATTGGTGGCTTGTATATATCTTTATAAATTTTTAAAAAATATGACTGATTGTATTTTGAAGTTTCCTACTTGACCCCATTAAGGTATGTTTTCAAGAAGAAGAAGAAGAAGAAGAATTTGGATTTATTAAAAATATAACATCATTGATGAAGGGAAATTTGGCCCGACCTCGCGATCGCCCGACACGTGGCAAAGGCAAGCAGCTCGGGACAGTAGAGCACCCAAAACGAACATCGGAAGCAAGTCCAAACTCACTACCGAGCCCGAACTCCAGACCGCTGTACTTAGTCCGAG